CTCCTAAGTCCATTCCTTTCTTGGTTTTTAGCTATCCCAAATTCTGGTTGCAAATCCTTTGATATGTGTGATCAGACCCAACCTTCTCACATAGAGCAATGTTTAGAGGATTAAATAAGATAAAGTAGGTGAGATTGCTCAGTGCGTTGCACTTGGTAGATGAAAGCTCAATACATGAAAGTTATTATTATTGTTACACATTGTTTAAAAAAGTATCTGAGCTTAGCCTTAAGGGGCCAGGTTGACTGCATGTTCTGCATGCTGGAGACTGCATCAGGATCACCGCAGAGTTATGTCATTCTTTCTAAGATTATTTGTGCCTTGGTGTATTTTACTATTTACTATTGATTGAGGCCAGCCCCCAAAGTTACATATGAAATCTTGTAGGTGTTTATCTGTTAAAGGTGCAAGGGAGTCCTATCTGGTAGAAAAGATAAATTCAAATGTTACATTTTAATTTCCCAGTAGGAAGTTTATCAATTTTGTATCTAACCTAGTAATTGTCTAGCATTCTTTCAGTGCCTACATACATTGTATCTTAAATTCTCTTTGAGTCAGTTTCACCATCCTGCTGGTTCTCTCATTAATTTGCATACATGAGAGTCATTTTAGAGAATTATATTTTAATTAGGTTCTAGTGCATGCTTGGACAAGTGTATATATCTGAATAAACAGCTGTTTTCACTAGGTAAATATGGGTACACTATCTCCCCCTACACTGTTTTGACATTTCCAGGGAATCCATAAATTTCTAAAAAGAACTAGAGATTTGGCGGAAGCCCAGGGTCGTTACTCAACTCCTGGTGGACATGATCTCTTACACTGTAGGTCACTAGGATTTCACCCAAGACTTCTCAGTTACTACCAACTTTTACCTGGGTTCTCTTCTTCCAGGTGATGGTGAAGTCAAAGAATGTTTCAAACTTACCTTCTGCCTGCAGCAGTTTCATATTTAAAATACTTTTAATATAACATACATGTAGTTGTTGGGAAAACTAAGCAAAAAGTGAATTACAGAATTCAAGTTCTTAAAAAGTACTTGTCAGGTTTGCCCCCACAAACAGTCTCCATTCTCTAAGCGTAAATGAGTAAGCTCTGCTTTCAGCTAGCCTCTTTCCTTTTTCTTAAAGGAAAGCTAGCCTCTTTCCTTTTTCTTTCCTTTTTCTTAAACTCTTTCAATGTTCCCTTGCGAGTTTCAAATCATCCCTTCCAGCCACCATTCTTTTATTCCTAAGGGTTGAGTTATCAAGCTCTCCACTGTCTTTGGAAAGGGTGTTAACCAGCCTGCTGTTCAAGTTACTCAGACCTAGGAGGATCTTTTTACAGTTGAAGGAAGCTCTAAACCAGTGTCTCTAACCTTGAGGTCCAGCCACCTGGCTTGGCCCTCTACTTTCCCCAGGCAAAGTCATTTTAGGTCATTGCCTAGCAAAGCCCAGGCTTGAATGACCTATTGAGTAGAGGTTTTCAGCGGAGAAGTGAGGGGGAGGAGGTGTAAATTTTACTATGATGGAGGGTGTCTGAGGGAAGGGGCAGGTCAATGTCCTTTGGAAGGGCATAGGCTTCATTGTAATTTCATGCTTGGAGCATTCCTAAAAGTTAATATTTTAATAATACAAATTGCAAAGAAAGAAGAATGACAAAACAGGCTGGTGGCGATACACTGTAGATACAAAAACTACGGTGGGATGGGTGGGAAGTGGAATTATTGGAATCTTCTGGAGACAAAGAGATTTTTATATGCGTCAAAAAAAGACATGAATTTTTACAACAGTTGAGGAATGTTGTGGGAATTTGGGGCAAAGCCTTAGTTTAGTTTATATTCTGTTCTTCTAGATTCCCAAAGGGGTTTCTAACCCATGGGAACCCCAACTTATAAAGCAGCCTAAGCCATACTTTTTTAATCCAGAAAAAAGTTAGCTGTAGTTTTTAAGCTGTATTCAAACTTTCTCTGAAAGGGTTTTTTTTTCTTTTTTTTAAATGCTACAAAATTGAAAATAGTATACGTGACATATTTAACTTTTAGATATGTTCTGTTGATAATAAACCAATAGTTATTACAGTCCTTGAACTATGTAGATAAAACATGGTTTTCATCAGTGAGTGTGTATATACATATACAATACTTGCTGACTAGTGAGATTGCTTCAGAAATCGTAAATCACTCAAGATTGAACTAATAGCTTTCCCTGAGGGGGCTTCAAAAGAATTTACATTTGAATTGGATCCTGAAACTCTATGTGTGAATTTATCACCCATTTCTCAGGAATGTTTACAGTTATATGTAAGATAGCATTATAAAAATGAAATTCAATGACAACAAATTGGTTTGGTCTTTTACAAATTATTATCAGAATTATGTTACTCTACTGGACTGACTCTTGCTCTAAATTTAGCTTGTCCCATATCATCAAGAATCTGACCTCACATGGATTTCATAAATAATCTGTTTTAGTAAATACCATGATTCTTTGAAACGTAAACAGAAATCTCATATGGAGGACCCAACAAGGGAAAAGATCTAAAACTAACACAGTTTAAAAACTGGTAAAATTCTTCACCTTGGCTTCTTAAATCTGTGTTTCCATTCCCAACACATAGGTATAAAAAGGCATAAAAATTATAATTTCCTAGGACGTGCAGCCGAATTCTCTTCAAATGCTAAGATATTTGTGTCTTTACAGATTCATTGATCCATTTAGACTGCCACTCATGATTCGCCTCTTCATAATTTCTAAGGATGAAGTTAGTTACAACAAATAATCACTGGAATTTAATTTTTTAAAATTAAGAGCTGATGGAGAATAACATTTAAATATGCTAGAATTTAGATGCATTCTGCAACAGATTTTCCTTATTAGAATCTATATCTGCATCTATATCTATAAGCTGAATGCATGCCTTTTAGCCCCTGGCTCTGCCCTTCCTTGCTTTAGACTGTTTATTGGACCCTTTTGTGCTGGAGTATCTTCACATCTAAAATGGGAAAAACATCTGTAGTTACCTCATAGGATTGGTGAGAGAATTAAATAAGATAACACGAGTACAAAAACCATGTGCCTGGCCCATACTATAGACTCAATGGATACTATTATGGTTAATATTTGTATACCCCAATGATTGGCCATCAAAATATGATCAAAGTTTGAAATATGTCCTTTAAGCCCTATTTTGGTCTTGTTCTCCTTTCCAGTTGCATTTTACTTACTACACAGAGCAGCCATCCAATTTATACCTAATTTAAATCCTTGCCATAAAATAAGCTATTACGTATTTTGTTTAGGGGCTTTTAAGAGGGTTACTTCTTCCAATGGTTAAAATTATTCAACGTCTTTATGATGAGAGAGAAGTAAACCGTGTCTGTTGAACAAACATACTGTTTAATTTTTCTGCTATTGTTGCGTCTACAGAACGGGCAGAACTCACTCTGGAAGAGCTGGTGGGAATAATGCCATTTGGGAGGCACACAACATAGGCAGCACAGTGGAGCAAAAGCAAGTCTGGAGCTGTCAGCTCCCGGGTCCTGAGGAATAAAAACTTTCACTGGAGTCTGGATTCCACTGCAGACACAATCCTCTCTGCATCGCCAAATGACTCTCACTTTTCTAAACTTACTCTAAGAATATCTTGTAACAGCAATTTGCATAAACCGACTCACATGCCACTGTGATTTAATAATGTCTGATTTGCTACTCAATCAGTTGTGTTTGGCCAGCCTTTCTGTCTTCACATTGTTCACAGTGTTTATCCTTAAGCTTAGCAACCAATCAAACTTTGAGTGGAATGTCAATATGCAAGAGTGAACTGTATTGTAAGTTTTCTAGGTGTTCCACAAGAGATTGTGTTTGTGTAGTTTACATTTTTTTCACTTTCTGTTTTACTTATGATATTCTCAACGCATAAAACTTTGGCCTTTCCCCCCCCCACCCCTTGCTATTCACAAAATTCCAAATACTGGTAAAAATGCCTGTGTCTTTAATTCACATAACGGATTCATGTTGTTAAATGTTAGCGAATACATAAACATAAGAATACAAGGATAACTTTATTAAAGAATATAAAACTATCAGGACATTTGTCTGATGGCAGCGACAAATTGAAGTTCCCCGACCAAGATATATAGTATTTTAGGTTTTGGCCAGACAACTAAAAAAATCTCTGTTTCTTGACCCAAAAAGGTTTTAAGCTGAAAGACTAGTGCTGGCTTATTGAAAGTAAATTTTAAACAAAGGGCTTTAAAAAAATAATTACTCCATTAAAAAATGCATACATTTACAGTCACAGAATTAGTTTTTGTTTTGACCTTCAAAAGTACTTGAAAGTATTTACTCCAAACTTACTTTACACATACTAAAAATATAATACTTTTTGAAAAAAGAAGGTGATCGTGTGGCTTTTCAGACAGGGGAATGGTATGTAATGTTTTGCATCAGCTCTGGGTTGTTGCAACCATTGGGTTGTCTCCACCAATCAGATATCCATTAGAGCCGGTAGGATTTGAAAAGATTATTTTATACCCTCATTTTACAGATAAAGAACCTGAGACCCATGAGAAAAGTGACTTGGTTAAGGCGTGGAGCGCTCCAGAGACCGGTCCAAGATCTTCCCCCGTTTCACAATTAGGAGGCTGCTGTCTGGAGGCCATTTCTTTCCTCATGATCCTCGTAAAGTTAATTTCCAGTCTCTTGGAAAGAGGACTGGACGACTGCCTGGCTTAGAAGATTTCCTCCCTTCCCGAACCCCGTTTTCTCTTCCTTTTCTTCCGCTAGCCGCTTCCCCAGCGCCCGCAAGTGGAAATCAGCCGCCCGCGGGGCTGCGGTGCACAAAGAGGCGGCTGGCGGACCCCTTCCCGCCGGCCCGGACGCAGCCTGGGCTCGGGGGCCGCGTGATGCAGCCCAAAGAAGGCGCAGAACAGCACGTGTTCCCGGCTGTGCCCGGGCCTCCCGCGCCGCCGCCCAATCGCCGTGGCCGCCTCGCGCTCAGGCAGCGCCTGCCGGCCGCTGAAACTCGGGGCCCGGGGATTCGCGTCGCAGGCCGCCCGCCATGCGCTTCCGCTTCGGGGTGGTGGTGCCGCCCGCCGTGGCTGGCGCCCGGCCAGAGCTGCTGGTCGTGGGGTCGCGGCCCGAGCTGGGGCGCTGGGAGCCGGGAGGGGCCGTGCTCATGAGACCCGCGGGCACCGCGGCGGGCGCCGGGTCGCGGGCGCTGCAGGAGCCGGGCCTTTGGATTGGGGAGGTGGAGCTGGTGGCCGAGGAGGCGGCGCAGGACGGGGCGGAGCCGGGACGCGTGGACACGTTCTGGTACAAGTTCCTGAAGCGGGAGCCGGGAGGAGAGCTCTCCTGGGAAGGTACTGGCAATGTGCGCCGGCCCCGGGCCCCGGGCACGGAGCGGGAGCTCGGCCTCGGCCTCGGGCGGGCCCCGCAGGCCCCCGCGGCGCGCGTCCCGGGCTCCTTGCCCGCGTCCCTGGGCACTCGCCGAGCGCCCCGGGCTGACCCTGCTCTGCGGGCTACGGTGTCGCCGCCAGCCGCGCCTCCGGCTTCCTACTGGTTCCCTAGACCCGTACAGCGCTCCCGCCCGCCTTCCCGCCCCCTTGGTTGCTCGCCTCTCTGACCTGGTTTCCGCACACCCAGTCCACAGTTTCTTTCCAACCGCGCCTGCGTCAGGGGCCGGTGCCCTTCGTCTCCCGCCCGGGGCCCCTTAGCCCTCCGAGTCCTCCTTGCGCGGGTCCCTGGGCTGCCCGGCCGCGCGCCGCCGAACGGCTTCGCTGCCCAACTCCGCCTTAGTTGGTTTCTGTGTCCTCATTTTCCTGTCCTAGTTCACTAAAAAAACGATCCAACCAGCGAAACTAGCATTTTCGCTAATCCTAGACTGCAACGTGTTACTTACTGTATAGATTTTTTTTTCTTATTTTGAGAATGAACTAATGGAAAGACGTTGAATATTGGATTTTTTCTTTTTTAATCCCAGGTATATGACAATTGAGACTTGACCTGACTTCTTAAAATACTAAAACAATACATGCTGGTTGTAGAATAATAATAATGATGATAAAGAAATATACATAGTGAAAACTTAGTGTTTCCTGCACGCATCTTAAGTACACTGCCTGTATACATTTATGTATGTGATACATGCATATACTTTTTTTTTTTTAACAAAAATTATATCTCATTCTGAATTTTTTCTTTTCTTGCGGAACAATATGTTGGGGACATCTTTATTTTACATGTAGATATATATTTTAAATGGTAACATATTATTCTGCATCTACCAATGTGCATTTAGGTTCTTTTCAGTTTTCTGTTATAGACAGTAGTAGCTTAATTGAAATTCCTTTTGCAGGTTATCTTTGAACATTTGGGAATGTTTCTGCAGAGTAGATTCAAAGAAGTGAAATTATTAGGTCAAAATGTAGTCTTTTTTTTTTTTTAATACTTCAATAAGGACTGCTAAATTATGCCCTGAAAAGGTGATACTAATATCGGTTCCCACCAACAATGTCTGAATTGAGGCAGCCCATTTCTTTAAAGGAAATGTGCAAGGTTGAAGACTGGAGTGGGTGTGACTCAGTAGTTGAAGTCAACGAAATGAGTGTCTCTTGAGATGTTGATATGTAAAAAATGGACCATTTAGCTTGTAATAATGTAGAAATAATCTGTAAAGAAGATTTGGCTGAAATATATTTATATATTATCCTTGTTCTCTTTTTGTACCCCACTGGGCTTTTAGTCTGGTAGCATTTATTCTTCAGTTTATCCTTCCTTTAAAGGGGCTTACTATTATTCATAGTAAGAGGTTGTCCAGAGCGGTGGGGCCTTGGACCCATGAATCCCCTTTTCTCTCCAGGTCTGTGGTGAGAGGGGCTGCTATGGAGGTCTCTGAAATGTCTTCCAGGCCTTTTCTCCATTGTCTTGGCTATTAACATACAACTCCTGTTTACTTATGCAAATTTTTACAGCCAGCTTGAGTTCCTCCTTGAAAATGGATTTTTCTTTTCTACCACATGGCAAAGCTGCACATTTTCCAAGCTTTTATGCTCTGCTTCCCTTTTAAGTATGTCTCTTTGCTCATAGATTTGAGCATATGCTGTTAGAAGCAGCCAGAGCACATCTCGAATGCTTTGCTGCTTAGAAATTTCTTCCACCAGATACCCTAAATCATCTTTCTCAAGTTAGATTTCCACAGATTTCTAGAGCAGGGCTGCAATGTTGCCAGTCTCTGTGCTAAAGCATAATATGAGTGACGTTTACTCTAGTTCCCAATAAGTTCTTCATCTCTGTCTGAGACCGCCTCAGCCATATCATTGTCAGCATTTTGGTCACAAATATTCACAAGTCGCTAGGAGGTTCCAAACTTTCCTTCATCTGCCTGTCTTCCTTTGAGTCCTCCAAACTGTCCCATCCTCTCCCTAACACCTGATTCCAAAGCTGCTTCCACTTTTTCAGGTATCTTTATAGCAATGCACCTCTTCCCAGTTCGAATTTTCTGTATTAGTTGCTCTTGCATTACTATAAAGAATGGCCTAAGACTGAGTAATTTATAAAGAGGTTTAATTGAGTCACGGTTCTCCAGGCTATATAGGAAACATGGCTTGGGAGGCCCCAGGAAACTTACAAACATGGCAGAAGGCAAAGGGGAAGCAGTCACTTCCTACATGGTTGGAGCAGGGGGAAGAGAGAGAGAAGGAGGAAGTGCTACACACTTTTAAACAACCAGCTCTCATAAGAACTCTCACAAAAACAGTAAGGAGGAAGTCCACCCCCATGATTCACTCACCTCTCACCAGGCTCCCCTTCCAACACTGGGGACACAAATCCAAACCATATCACTGGGAAAGTGCTTTATTCAGGTGAGCATATTCCTTTCTTGAGGAAACTTAGTGTACTGATTACCAAAAATGAGGAAAGTGGATCTTGGGTAGGCAGCTAATAATGCATGGTACAGTTTAAAACAAAAGATATCATGCACAACATTTATTTGTGTATTTATTGGTTTTTGTCTTTTACCAGATTGTGAGCTCTATGAGTGTAGAAACTATGTGTATTTTATTAATTCTTTTATATCCTGCAGTTGTGGTTGATACATAGTAGCTGCTCAATAAATATTTGTTGGATGAATAGGGCACAGAACAGAAAGAGCTGGAGGTTTTCTCTTTTTTTATATCATGGGCTAATTACTTCTTAAGTGCTTTCAGTTAAATTACTCTTTTTCCTTACAGTGACACTACAAGGTAGATATTCATTTTACTGTTATATAAATAAGAAGATTGAGGCCTTCTTCTAGGTCTAATCTGCTGTGAATTCCATCCAGTGAATTTTTATTTTCAGATACTGTATTTCTCATCTCTAGAAGTTCCATTCAGTATTCTTTTGCATTTTTTCCTTTTGTTCTCATCTAGCTTATGTTTTTCTTTAAGTTTGTGACTATGTTGAAGATAGAGCCAGTCTTTATTGTCTAGTTTCTTTCTATGTGTCATCTTTGAGTGTAGTTTCTACTATTGTTTTCTAGCAGTTATTGATAATATCTGACAACTTCTTTTCATGCCTTTTCTGAGTAACCATAGCTGAGCTTTATTTGTGGATTATTTTAATGTATGATAAATTATATGACTTGCATTTTTAAGAATAAACTGTTTAGAATAATTTTAGATTAGTACAGACAGTTCCTATATACTCCTTGCCCAGTGTCCTCTATTGTTAATATTTTATGTTAGTATGACACTTGTGAGAATTAAGGAACCAATAGTGATACATGGTTATTAACTAGGATCCAGATTTCATTCATGTTTATTTTTTACCTAACATAACTTTTCTCTTCCAAGACCTTATCTATATGCCCACATTACATTTATTCTTTATTGTAACCGGGTGTCCAGGTTCTTGGCCTCCCTCCTCCAGGAATGGGCAAAGAGGCCCTACAGGTGCAGTGGGCTCGTTCAAGTAAATATCGGATCCAAAGAGTTTTGCAGAAAAGGAATTTATTAGGCAGAAAGAGAGAGAGAGAGAGAAAGAGAAGTGGGGGTGGGGGGAGAGAGAGAGAGAGAGAGAGAGAAAACTCCCATACTGTTGTGGGAGGGGATCCAGAGATGGAATCCACACAGGTGAGGGGCAGGGGTTCTTTTAATTTGGGAGTTACTCCCTCCACACTCAAGTTCTTGTCCCATGAGAGGAGTTCCTTTAAACTTCCAGTGGAGTGACTGATCTTTGACTTCGACATTGGATTGGCTGCCTGGCTCACAATCCTCCCATAGCTTTTTGGGGGCTTTCTAAAGAAAGAGAGCTCACCTGGGCAGTTTACCTTTCCTGTGCATGAAAGTTACACAAAGAACTCTAGGCTCTGAGATGGAGACATGAAAGAAGGCAGATCAGGCAAGTCACTGGGAAGTTCTTGCCTTTGAAACCACATCCCTTGTGGACCCAGGAAGAGAAATTGATACATTCCCTCATTATGACTGTGATAGTTTCTTAGACTTTATGTATTTCTGCAGTGACCTTGACAGTTTTGAATAGCATTCATCAGGTATTTTGCAGAAAGTTTTGGAATTTTCTGGTGCTTTTTCTCATTTACACTTGGATTATGGGATTTTGGGAAGACATGGAAGTAAAGTGCCTTTCTTACTACATCATATCAAGGACATGGGCAGGGACAGCCTCTCTTGCTGCTTGGCTTACCTAGAGCAATCTTTAGTGATATTTTTTCATTTCTGTCAAACATAAAACATCAAGTAACTTTCTAGTGAATTTTCCAGGCATACCAGTGAGCCCTATCCTGGAATGCATTAGGATCACCTTGGGAGCTTTTCAAGTCACAGACCTACAGAATCCTCATGGGTGGATCCTGGAAATTCATGTTTTTTATAACAGCTTGCTGAGAAGTAATTCACATATCATAGAATTCACCCGTTTAAAGTGTAGAGTTCAGTGGTTTTTAGGATACTTAGTCTCCTGTCCCTGTGGATTCTGCATCTGTGGATTCAGCCAATCTTGGATTGAAAATATTCAGAAAAAAATTCTACAAAATTCTAAAAAGGAAAACTTGAATTTGTTGTCTATCAAGTACTATGTTGATTCCACACAAGTGGAGTGATGGGTAGGCATTGTATTAGGTATTTAATAGTGTAAGTAACTAGAGATGATTTAGAGCAGCAGTCCCTAACCTTTCTGGCATCAGGGACCAGTTTCTTGGAAGATAATTTTTTCATGAACTGGGGAGGTGGGGATAGTCTGGGATGATTCAAGTGTATTACATTTACTGTGCATTTTGTTTCTATTATTATTTCATTGTAATATGTAATGAAATAATTATACGACTCACCATAATATAGAATCATTGGGAGCCCTGAGTTTT